CGTGTTGTCTAGACTATCCGGGACGAGCCGCGTCACTGACATGGTGGCTAAAGTTTCGGCCAGCATATTGTGGCCTTCTTCAGAGAGTACTGCTGAACGCTCTGAAGAAGGCCACAATACGCTGGTCGAAACGTTAGCCACCTTGTCAGTGACGCGGCTCGTCTCGGATAGCCTAGACAACACAAACTCCAGCCGCGGAAGCCTATGCAACCAATACATTCGTTGGTTTTTGAAAATATATGTTTTTAAATGCGTTAGTATGGATACGAAATACATTACATTTGCGTCGCGGCGATTCACTTGTCGCATTCAACGTAACCTACATAGATCTCTTTGGGTGAAGTTGAATTAATTCCCGGCATATTCACTAAGATAGCAGCACTAAAACACGCAAAAACGCGTTTTTGGAAATTTCTGTGAATCATCTGGCCGGGTTTGAAAACAAATTATCAGTTCCCCGCCAGGAGACCAACGCGCGTCGAATGACACATCGTATATCTCGATTGGTGCACGGGAAGTGGTCTAACCGTGAGTGACGGATCCGCACACACGTCCTCTCGCACACTCGTAGTTACTCAAATACTGCATAGGGATTAAACCTTTTTTAAAAATACAGAAAAAAGTAAATCTTTTATAATATAAATTTGAAGATCCGCGAGATGAAATATCGACTTTTTTGTAATCTGTCCAAACATTGGGGGGAGGGGGGATGCAGTTGCCCTTGCTCCCCTGAATCCTGCCTCTGTATATGTTTGTTTTTTGGTTGGTTCAAACGTAATGCGCTGCCGAACCGTTCATCTGATTGCGATAAACCTTTGTCAACTTATTGCATACAAATACGCACATAGACGCGCGTTGATAATTAATTTATGCTGCCTCAAACACCCCTGAACAGGGCATACTACGCAACCCGCCTGACTCTGAAGTACGAGTATTAAGAGCGTCGCCTTTGCATGTTCTTCTCCTGCGATTATAGACCAGTCGAGAGGTATCTGACTCAGGAAAAAATTCCATTAGCTATTGTCTCAACGATTATCTACACTAATAATTTCGCCTCTTTTTTAGTTTTTTGATTATATCTTCGAAGTTACGCGTTTTATCGAAACAATTGTTCTATACGAAATTAAAGTAGATAACATTTTCTACAAAATGCATACATTTATTTAAAACTTTCGAAAAACTGTTTACGCGCTAGAGCGCGCTGAAAACAGCCTGTGGCCAAACCGAAGGAATAGCTCTTTCCAGCCATCCTATCTCGAGGCGACGCTCTAATTTCACGTTATCATGCTAGATAACAGTTATTGTAAACGAATAATATGCATTCTTAAATTATTAACACTTCGATACTCGCGGAAACAATAGGGGCGTATTTTCTATCCGTAAATCTAAGCGTTGGTAACCAAAATAAGAGGGTATTATTACGCCCTGAGGAAGATCGCAGAATGACGACCGAAACATCGGCACCTTCGCCATGGACGCGGCGTCACCCGGACAGCCTAGTAAATACTGACTCCGGCCGCGGAAGCCATCACTCTCTCTTAAAATAAGAGGTATACAAGAAAATTATTACGAAAACACGTTCTGTGCTATACAATATATTCATCAACAATTTGTACCAACAATATGTGTTGTCAATATGAGCCAAAGTATGAGTAAAAGTAAACATACAACACTGATGAGGAAATTTTAAGCGTTAAACAAAAATATTAAAGCTGATAATTCATAGAAATGCAAACTTCAGATTAAAAAAGAAATAGAGTATTACTATAGAATAAAACGAGGGTAAGGAATCAGCGGACAACACGGATTAAATCCAATTGCCAATGTATCGTCTGTCTTAAAAATTATTAAATTTGTTTCTTGAATTATGAATATTAGTTATCTCATTATTAGCCAATCACTGACGTGTTAACAAGATATCCATATTGATTGCCGAAAATTATATAATTGTCTGTGGAGAAAACAATGATAAATCGTTATCTTTTAAAAACTTTACCATATAGTTAGTGTATAGCGATGAGTTACATAGGAAGACGTGCATAGAGTGTGGCTCTACCAGATGTAATGTTGCAATGGAGAAAGACACCTGATACGAGCGAGAATGATATTTACTGGTGAGAAGTGATTCCTCCGGTTCTTAAACAAAATTTCTCCTGCTCTGTCTTTTATTGGTCTCATGTTCTCCAACTATAATTCTAAAGATAGTTTTGTTACTAACACATCATGCGGTCCATGCAAACTTGGATTACTGCACATTGCGGCAGCGGTATACGGCACAATTCCCAAGAAAACTACAGCGATTCCGATTCTTGCGCATTACACGCAGATCCTCGTAGAAAGTTTCAGAAATCTATTACTTGCATATTATTCCACGAAGTATTTCATGCACTAGCGCGTGTCATTGACTCCAGCGATAACCCCGCCTTACGCGCTGGCGCGAGGTCGGCAATATTAAGATAGTTTACCACATCACGAACTCATTGAAAAATATGAACAAGTAATATTTGAAGTTTTATTACGTGTGCATAATGCCTTGAAAGAGTGTGCTAATTGGGATAAAACCTTAGGAGATGGAACGTAGATAATTTTTGTGAAAAAAGAAGATTGGAATATTTCGTCGAAACCAGGAGATAGGACGGTATTTTTTTTCTCTCTCATTTTAATGTAACTCACAAATTGAAGTTCACGGTATGTATACGAGGCAACACGGAAACGAAAAATTGATTTCTGTTTATGTGAAGAGAGCTCAAGAAGATGCTGAATTACAACTACGTTCATATATATCTGTCTTCAAAACTCATTGTTTTATTTGTGAAGAGGAGGAACTAGGAGGCTTCGCGAAAAAAACAAATTTAAAAATTACCCTCAGAACCAAATCTAGTATACACTGTGAGAAAATTAACTGTTAGAGAAACTTTTATGACTCGTGAGACATCGTAATGATGATTATGGACGTTCTAAATAAAATACGTTCTATATAGCTGCCGATGCACACGATTATTTGATGTAGACTGCATCAGCCCCCAAAGAAAACAGGAACACAAATCATAGTTAAAAGGCCCTGCACAAATGTTGAAGAATAAGCGATGCAAACTAGTTTTAGTTTTATTGGAAACAGTAACGACGAATACCAATTTACCATTGAAGTGATAGAAGGTGATTTTCTTCCACATCCAAAATTAGTGTGCCTTATGAAGTATGTTTCAAGGATTTACTGATACTCCGCGCAAGTAAATACGTCCCTACGGATTTAACGAGTATCAGAGTATTAATTTTTTAACGACGCCAATTCTTTGTTCACAATAGCTGTTTTCAAGCATGATCAACCCGCTTTGGCCACAGACCCAAAAAGTAACCGCTGTTTCAGTGCGTTTTAGCGCGTAAACAGTTTTTCGGAAATTTATATTAAATATATGCATTTTGTAGGAAATTTTGTGAACTATAATTTTGTAAATAACAATTGTTTTGATGTAACGCATAGTTTTGAAGATATATGCGAAAAAATTAATAAAAGGGCGTAATTTTTAGGAGTTTTTGCAATTGTCTGTGTGAAGCCGACCTTTTTGAGGTGACAAACATCAAATTCGAATTCAGCACCATCGAAAACATGTAGAACCGTTGAGAAAAACCTTCCGGAATTTTTTCCTCGGTCGGACCCTTTTGAGCACCAATTGACTGGACTATTTGAAATTACACTCAGGAGAAAGACAGAGATGCAGAGAGAGAGAAACGAATAGAGAAAGATAAGAGAGACAGAGATTGACATAGAGACGAAGACAGAGAGTGTGTGTGTGTGTATATACATACTCACACAAACATAAATTTATGACTTGAAAGTTATTGTAATAAATTACTACTGCATTAAATTCTACTAGTTTATCAATGCTATTGTTATGATTGTAGTTGTTTCAGTGGAGTAGCGAAGTGGTGTAGCTTCAGTTGGTGTCAAAAACTAATGGTATCACCCCCTCCCCATAAAATAAATATAAAAATATCTATTGCTGAATAGTTTATATATGATTTAATTAAAATAAAACTATATTTGCACAGCATATTTATTTATAATATATTAAAAAACGATGTAAAGGAGAACAATTGAAATATAATTTTTAAATAAATAATTGTATAATTCTTACTACAAAATTTTCTAATTGGTGTCACCTGAGCAAACCCTCCCCCACCCCCTTAATTCATCACAGGGTTCTTTAAATACTATTGTTCATAATTGAACATGTTCTGAAACTGATCTTAAGTGTATGACCAACAAAATTATTATTATAATAGCTGTATTGTGTGTCAATTTCATGGATTTCAACACTCCTAGGTTGTTGAGAAGTCTTACCGAAACTTACAGAATTTTATTCTGTCAATAACTGTTCAATAAGTTCAACATATTTCCAAAAGAAATTTTCCTCAACCATATTTCTCAAATTTTCTTCTACCGTATTAATTCAGCAGGTGTAGTTCAAAATAGTACTATTTGAACATAATTCTTATTTATAGGCACTAATTATTTGCATTGCATGTTTTTTAGGTAATAGTATTATGAATCTAATTATTATAATTCTAGGTCAATGCCTGCTACCTCAATCATTGTTTTCATGATTTTCAAAAAGGTCATTCTGCTTTGTTCCTGGGGAATTGGAGTAGATTCTTCTCCCTCATCAAATATCACACACAGTTCTCATTTGTATCTTTTATACAAATAAATCAATATTAGAACTTTTAA